ATGTAATCGGTGCAATTGACAAAACGTGGTCTGTCAACTTTTGTCACATTGAAGAGTGTTCCATTGCAGTTGATTGTTGTGTTTGTTTTTGTTGTGGACATGACGTAATTTGTGCAATCGATGTAATTTCTTCTTGTGTTTGTTGTGATGTTGAGAAGTGATCCTTTGCATTCAATTGTGGTGTACTTTTCAGTCTCAGTTTGCTTTGAGAATGCTGTGAGACAACAGATCAATACAAGTCCAAACATGTTGCAATGATCTGTATGTGTGTGCTTATATAGTGTTGTTTCGCACACAACCATCCTGGCTTCAGCAGGACTGCATCTCTGTATTTGTTTTAACATTTTGTGTGATTTACTTGAAATTCATATCAATAATCAGGAAGCGTGTCCACTTTATAATAACATTATTTTTGGTTTAAAACATCACATGTTGACAAATTGACAATTCGACAAGTGGTTGCACTTATATTTTAATTATGTGTTTATTTTCAAAATACTTGGTTTTACCACAACAAAATTATAGGCGATATTTGTGTTGATAACATGACAAATCTGACAAACCAAAACAAAAATAATTCCACGACTTTTTACAAAATACACAAAAAGTATATTGACAACTTCCTGCCCATCACAACCAAAGAGAACACAACAAAAGTGCTTGTGAAATATAACATTTATAAAAACAATTGTTGTGTTCCAACAAAATGATTATTAATTAACAAAAATTAATAAAATTCTTAAAAATAACAGATTTTTAATAATATTTATGAAATTAATTTATTATCAATTCGAAGTTGAAAACATTGTTTAGTGCTATATGTAATATAATTTAATTTTCAACATTTAAAACAGCTCGTTGTTATTTTTTCATTTTTTATTAATTTTCTTCAATTTCTATTTTATGAAACAATAATCCAATAATGTTATTAACAATACAGTGTTTCTGGAATGACAACGATGATGGACTGACTTTTTGTAAATACAAAATAATAAAATAATTGAATTGTTAAAATATTGGCAAATCAGCACATTTGAACAACCATGAGTCTTTTAGCTCTCAAGTCTTTGTTTTCGTTCAATTTTGCTGTGTCTTTACCAAAGTCGAAATAGCGAGTTTGACATGAGTATGCACAAAACTTGGGTTGTTTTGAATCTGTTTCTCTGATCATAGTCATATCAAATTCCCCAAAGTAGAAAACGATTACAAGACATTTGTCAACTTTGACAATTATCAACTAAGACATTTGTCGAAACCCTCAAAATATTTTGTATTTATAACAATAAAATATATATTTTCTATAAATATTATTTTTATTTTATAATTAGAAAACAATGTTATTAATATTGTAAAATTGTAAAATACAAAACAAACATACGTTTGAATAAAAATAGAAATTATAAAAATATAATTTATTGGTATAATTTGTGTGCATTTTACATATTTTTTATAAAAATAATATTTTAAATTAATTAAAATTAAATTGAAATTTATTTAAAATACTTGAAATTACAATTGTATATCATTTGTGTTGATTAATTTATACAAAAATAATAAGAATAAGAGATTTTTTTCAGAAATAAAACATCTATAAAAAGAAAAATTAATCTTTTCATATTTTGTACTTCCAGCTAAACAATTATTAAATAATATATATTATATATGGAATATTGTAAATACAATAGCTGGAAATTGAAAATAAATACTATCAATTTTAATAAAAGATATTTTATTTTTGATAATTATTTTGGTGTCAATGTTTGAATGCATTTTAGATTTCAAGATGTTTGAACCAAATTAATATTTCAAATTAAACTCTATTTTTACAATTATACATTTATATATTTATAAACATATTTTATATAAAATTTTGTTTATTTAATACATTTACAATTAATTTATTCAGATTTATTTCAAATGACGAAAGAACCTCTTCGCTTCTTTAAAGAACTCAATGATAACCCAAAGCGACATCCATTATTGTGTATTGAAAAAATTTGTTTCTTTCAACGTGCCAAATGGGACAAATCGAAAAATGATATTGTTTTTGAATGTGCTGGAAATAACTGTAATGTAACAGTACATGTAAAAGATAATGATTATTATATTGTTGGAAATCATACTTGTATTTTTGATCACGAACGTTTATTTTTGTCAAGATGTCGAAGAGAAGCCGCAGATATAGAATTTGTTAAAGGTCTAAGTGATACTCCGCGTGAAATAACAAAAAGAGTCATGACACACAATTTTTGTTCAAACATGTCAATAAAAGACCATAGATCAATTAATAAATATATAACCAGACTACAAGAAAGACTTCTTGGAAGTAATCCCAAAACAATTGAAGATATCAATTTCACGGAAGTTTTGAAAACCACATTGATACCTCAAAATGAGTCTAATCCAGACAATACTTTTTTATTTTATGATTCTTTCACTGAAACTCAAACACTCTCCAGATTTTTTATTTTTTCTTCTTGTACACAACGGCACATCGCCTCCAAGTCAGAAGAAGTGTTTGGTGATGGAACATATCGAATTACTCCAAACATAATTACATGTTTGTATACGTTACACTCTCTTATTGATAACACATGTTATCCAATTGCATTTCTATTACTTCCAAATGAGACAGAAGAAACATTTATTCGTGCTCTTAAAGTACTAAATCCCTTTTTAATCAATGTTAAAATTGTACACTGTGATTGTCAGATTTCAGCAATGAACGCATTTAGTAAAGTATTGGGAGCAAACATTAAATTATGCTTGTTTCATATAAATCAAGCGGTGTTTAGAATGTTGGGCAAAAAGGGTCTTTCTATAGAATATATAAAAAATGCCAAATTACATCTATGGGTACGGCGACTATTTGGACTACCTTTTCTACCAAAAGAAATACACGATGCTTTCGAGAAATTATTCATTGAAATGTCAACATCTTTAGAATTTGGTGTACCTTCACATTTATTATAAAAGTACAAAGAAGGTTTGAATTATTATAAAGATTTTTGGTTGAAAAAAATTGGGAATGAAAAATGGTGTCAATTTTTCACAAAAAATAGGACAAATAATTTATGTGAAGCATTTCATAATGCAGTAGGTTTAGAGTTTCAAATTGCTCATCCAAGAATCGTGGTTTTGGTCGACATGTTAAGAAAATTGGATGACATGTGTAGGCAAAGATGGTTAGATATGGCAACTGGAAAACACGAAGTTGCTTATCGACGCGCAATTCAAGAATTAAGCAGAAAATTGAATATTACAATGGAAAGTTATCAAAATGGAAAGTTTGAAAATCAACTGCAATATCTAGACGCAATTGGCAAGTTGTATATTGACTACAATTTTACAACAAAGGCGTCAAGAAGAAATGTATCCATTCGTGCAATAAATGCATCACAAAGATTGATAAATGAAATGGATATTATAATGCAAGAACAACAAAATGTTACTTTTGATGAAAATGGGACAAATTTAAATATATCAACTATCATTGAACCAAGTTATCAAAGTGAAATTGATTTTGAGTCAACAATAAAATCAATACACGAATACAATTCAACAGTACAATCAATTTTTGAAGAAAACAGTGTTATTACATTGGAAAAAACAGAAGGAAAGATGGAAAATGACCGAAATTGCGCCAAAAGTGGCATTAATACTTCAAAGATAAAATCAAAGAAAACACTAAAAAGGAGAAAAAAATTGACTATATGTCAGAAATTGAACAAAGAAAAAAACCTCGAAATCACAAAAAAATATTGATTAATTCAGTTTTCTATTAAAATAAAAAGCAATTTTTAAAATAAATATTCAATTTGCATAATATAATAATTATGTTTAATATAATACCTTTTTATTGTGTTTAAAATTTGTTATGTATTTATACAAGATATTATATTTATAATCAGAATATTATAACAATTCAAATAATTAGAATGTAAATCATATTTATTTGATAAGATTAACATAAATATAAATTCTAAATTGTTTTAAATAATATTATTAAGTATACATTTTGTTTATAATAACACCTATTAATCATATTTTTTATAATTTCTATTTTTATTCAAACGTATGTTTGTTTTGTATTTTACAATTTTACAATATTAATAACATTCTTTTCTAATTATACAATAAAAATAATATTTATAGAAAATATATATTTTATTGTTATAAATACAAAATATTTTGAGGGTTTCGACAAATGTCTTAGTTGATAATTGTCAAAGTTGACAAATGTCTTGTAATCGTAGAAAACATTACATTCAACATTATTACCAAGTCTAAAAAACGCATTATTATTTCCAATGTGTTGTTTTGCATTTATCACCCCATTTGAATTTATTAATGACGCTAAAAACACGTCTGAACCCAACACATACGTCTTTCTCCTTTTGGATATTTTTGGCTTCACGAAACCACACAAAACACAATTGTTTGTTGTGATAATGATGTAATACAAGTTCTCTTTATTAAGGACCATTTCGCAAAAATTGCAGTCGTTTCCTTGAATAAATTGAAGGTCGCTGTCGAATATAACATTCATTTCTTTGCACGAACTCCATTCTTTCAATTTGTTTATTAAATAACTGCCTTTTTCTTCAAATGTTATTAAACTTTCTTAACAAACTTCACTCAGAATAACACGTTCCATTTAATAAATTTAAGTTTTTGTTTTCAATTAAAGAGTGTTAAATTTATTTCAAAACTCATTTTAAATGATTTTTTAAATGGAAAAAACAAAAAAATGCAAGAACTAATATCCGATTTCACTATTTATAAAAGATTCGTGCCCATAACGAGCGCTTTTGACCATTCGACCAATCTCTCTATATCTGAATGAATTTAGTCCATTTTTATAATTGAATAATATTTCATTTTTGACAACTTAATTAAACAATTTATACACATCATGAGTGACAATAATATCATTTTTGTAAATAAATAATCATATTCCTTTTACAGCAGGCATGCCTCGTAAAAATTATCTTTTCATAAAAAAAGACTGAAGAAACTGTTTTTTGCGGCAAAAAAAATCTTCTTTGGTAAAGCCATTTTTAAAAATACGCAAATAAACGGGACATTAGGTAATATTGAATTGTGATTCCAGAAGATTCAATAATTTTTACCAAATTGTTTTTGATAAATTAACAATATGTAAATATTTATCATTTTTTATGTTTTATTAACACAATAAAAACAAAAATTAAATTAACGAAAAGTTAAAATTAACATTTATTTTTTATTAACATATTTTCTTGTATAATTAACACACCGAAAAAAGAAAATTAATTAACAAAAAAATAATTAACAATTATAAAATATTTATCGATTTTTATTGTAAAATTAACACAGCGAAAATTTACATATTATTCAACGACAATTTAAATTAACATCTTAATATTATTAACGTTTTTACATGTTAAATTAACAAACTAAAATGTAAACAATTAAAGATAATTCAATAAAAAATGTTTATTATTTAATGATTTATATTGTACAATATATATTTGTCTTAACAGAACAGTTACCAATTCTATGAAGTGACGAATTTAAATTATAATAAAACCGACATTATTTGATAATTAAACAATACCGTTTTTATTAAAATCTTATCATTAAAAACAATTCAGTAATTGAATTATATTTTCACAATAAATGATGAACATAAAATTGTATATGATAATATTATGTGCATTATCTATATAAAAAATATGGTCATTTTCAGCATTAAATAATAATTGCATCACATGTAACAAAATTTTTCTTCTTATAATGAAAAATCATTTATGTTAAAAATATTAAAAACTTTTCAATTTATCTTTCATGTTTATAATTTTGTTGATACTTATTAATGAACAAACTTGTTGTTTTTGTATTTTATATTTAATTCTTGATTTTATTGTTAAAATAAATGCATTGTAAAATGAGAAGCATTGGTCATTCAACGTGCTAAACAATGACGATATAAGCAGTTGATTTGTCTGAAATACAATACATTTAAACAAATTTATAATAAAATACAAACAGTTAGTTAAGAATAATGACATAGATAAAAAACGGGATTATTACATATTTTGTATTTTAATGAACAACAAAAACACCAAATTGAAAAAAATATTAAAACATTGTAAAAGTTTATTTGTTTCATATCATAAACCAATAAAAGTTTATAAACTGTTTTTCAAAAGTCGGTACTGAGGTGTCCCGATTTTTTGCATTTATTTTGTTTATTATTTTTGGGAATCGTTTTTTGTAATAAATTCGCTTATTTTTTCCAAGTAAAATTGAGAAAAACAGTCTTCAAAAAATATTTTTTTACTTGGAAAATTTTTCAGCATTAAAAAATTCCATATAAAATTTGAAATAACGGGATTTTTGTTTCATAAAAACACACGAATTATCCCAAAAGTGCATTTTAGTACAAAAGCAAATAAACTTAATGTCAATCTTTTTCATTATCAAACATTATAACATTATCTCAGTGATTTGATAAACATTATTTTAGTCAATAACATTATAATTATGTTTTTAATTTGTAGTAAAAGTCCATTGTTATTGTCAATAACAATTAGTAAAGTTAAAAATCAAAGTAATGTCTTTGTGATTAAATATCATTTTTTATAATAGTTTACTATTATAAAATGCGATTATTATCATTATGTTATAGTTTTTATGTTAAAATCGTTTAAAAAGTAATCTAGTTGTGGTTATTCTCAATTTTCGGGAAATATAATACAAGTCCCAATCATAATGATAAAACTTCGACTTTATCGATTTTTGTTTGTTTTTTAGTGCTCTAGTGAGATCACGTTTTATGCCCAGAAGTTTAGCCTTTTTCAAACATATTATATAAACAAAAATTATTTTTTTTTATTTTTATTAAAAACAAATAAACAAATTTGTTCTAATCAAAGTGTTCAATTTCTGTTTCGTCTGAATTTTGACTTTCTTCTTCTTGTATTAATCTAAGTTCGTTTTCTAAAACATCAAATTGTTCCCTTTGTCGTCTTCTGTATATTAAACTACTTTTCTTATGTGCTTCTCTTCTTTTTTCAATTTTATTTAAATAATTGGTCATTATATTCATATAGTTTGTTGCATCTTGATTTTCAAGGGGATTAATTTCAATGTCTTCATTGCAAAAGCAACAACTTATAACAAAGAGGTTGTCAAAAGAAACAAAGTCTTTTAAATATTTTTCTCTTGTAAATTTAAACACCATTTTAATTCGACCAAAATATCTTTCAATCAAACACCCTTTCTCTTTTAAAGGACTTTCTTTTGAAACTGAACCAGTTGGTATGTATAAATCAAATCCTTTATATCCCTTATCACCTATTATTTTTGTTGTTCCCAACATATTATTGATTGTTTCAGATGTGTTTTTTAAAATAGTCATATCATGATCTGCACCCTGAACTGCTTTTGAAACAAAACTTGCAGTGCCACTTTCTGCATTCACAATCACTTCGACTTTAACACAATACATTTTGTATTTTCCACTATAAAACCCCATAGCTGAAGCAAAATCGCCATTTGGACGTCTTGTTGGTGTCACTGTACAATCAACAATTGAACTTACACCAGTATTTAACAAATTTTCGTTTCTGAATGCTATACATGCATTTTGAAGTGGTACTCTAAATAAAGAAGCACTTAAATCGATTTCTCTGCTTATTTGTTCGTTAGTTCTGATATATGGGATACACATATCTCTTATCATTTTCAAATTGTTATATCGACAAAATAAGTATAACAAAAGAAGTCTGTCGTTGGGGTTGTTGAAAAATGATTTGCGTCCTCTTTTATCTAGATATATATCTCCAACAATTGGTTGTAATGCAAGGAAAACAAGTGGCTTAAGTTTCAAAAACTCAAAAAGACTTTCAAATCCATCATAACGTTCGAGTAAATATTCGTAAAAAAAATCTTTGTCTTGAAAGTGATCGTGTTCAGGAGTTTGGATTACAGCTTGTGTTTCCGCCTCTTCATCTTCTATTTCTTGTTCAACAATTCCATGTGGCTCAGTTTGATGTGTCTGTCTTCTTGGCATTATGTTTAAATTTGAGTTTATTTATTTTATAATAAGGTAACTGTAATGTTTTTGTAAAATACGTTGTTATTTATAATCACTTTTAAAATGTTTTTGGTAAACAAAAATGATAATCAACCAATCAAAAAAAGAAACTATTATGTACAATATAATTCGATTTTTTTTAAAGCGATTTAAGTCACATATCGAAGTAACTTTTTCTTTAATAAAGATATTTTAATATATTAAAGAACCAAATCAATAATTTGTGATCGGGTTTTTATCACTAAATTGTGGTTTTTAGTGTCGTCATTCTAATCACTAAACCATTTAATAGTTTTATACATAATAAATTCAATTTTATTAAAATGTTTTGTATTTATACATGTATTGTTGGTTTTTTCTTATATTAATTATCACTGAGATAATGTTCTAATAAAACTAAAAAAATATTTTGAAAAAATTTAGACCCATTTTTAGATTATTTTTAAATTCGACTTTGCTGAAAAAATAAGTTGAAAAATAAAATTGAACGAACTTAAAAAATAAATTGAAGTCGAAAGAAGAAAAATAGGCAAACACCAAGCATTAACTCTTGTTAAAAAAGAAAACAAAGACCAAACATTTAACGGTGTCATTTTACACGTTTGTTATTGTTATTTTGTCATTATTTAGCCACTTATTACATAAATATTCAATTATTAAATTTTATTTCATCATCTTTAAAATCTTTAATTAATAGTAAGTTGTGAGTGTGGCTATTGGGCGAGCTTGCAAAAACAAACACACTTATCATTTATTTGATTGTGATGAAGCTGGATTTATGGAGTTAAACTTGTTGCCAAGTAAGTTAAGTGATGGTTTTTTATTGGTTTATTCGCTTCTTGGTTTATGTGTGATTGTTGTTTTTCTATAGTTTTTAAATGGTTAAAAAAAACTCTAAAATATTATTTTCAAACAAACAAAATGGTAACAAGATAATCAAAATGTCAATATTTGTTAAAATAATAAGGACAAATTCGGCTTGTTAAATAAGGGTTTTATTGAGAATGACTGTTTTAGCCAATCAAAATAAATTTTTTTGAAATAAGAAAACCCTTTTATTTAGCAATCAATTGAAAATTTATACCTTCACTTCACTGCCTGTATATATAATTGTATGTGTATTAACATAAAACTAACTATTTTGATAATTATATAAATATAAAAATTGCAAACATTTTTGTTTTTAATAGTTTGGCATCAAACTAAAACTGTTAGATTCAAATATTATTTAAAATATCAATAAATTTTACAACCATTTTAGTTAAAGAAAAATGTTGATATCTGTATAAATAAGTATATTATATAAACCAAATACCTCTACCACTAAAAAATATTAAACCATTATTGATTAAATATTATTGATTTTGTAAAACAATAGAGAAAATATAAATGTCGTGATTGTTTTGAAATTGATAATTGATATCTGATGTGTCTGTTTTATTTATTATTAAAGCATTTTATGTTTAATCAACTACAACATATATTTATATGTATGAGAATTTAAAAACCAGTACCAACTCGAATGTTTAAAAGACAGTAACAATGCAACCTTTATTATATTATTTAATTATATATATTATAATAACACCTGGAATTTAATTATCTTACATCCAACTATTTTATCGGGCTTTCATGATACCAAAAATTCACATTTTGAACCATCTCATCTTTTCTTTTTCGGTTTCATATTATTGGTGATTCATTTGATCTTTATTTCCAGATTATGCATTTTTGTAACAATATATTTGATACAACGTTTTTAATATATTGTATTGATATTTTATAATATTACTTGTAAAAAGGAGTAACCTAAATGTTTGCACCAACAATAAACATTAAAATTATAAACTGTAAAAAATTACATATCAATTACTAGTGTATTTTTTTTAAATAGATCGACAGTTTTTATTCTACATTTTTATAAAGCAAATATATACTCAAAAATACTAAAGTGAGGAAAAAAAACCCACACCCATTTTCCTTTTTCTTCTTTTACCCAAATTATTGTGTTTTTTACTTCCAGAATATGTAAAAAATAAAAAAGTCGGGTTATTAGAGTTTCTTTTTCTTATTTGTTAGTGTTTTTTATTCAAAAATAAAAAATGATTCGAGTTTGGTTCAAAATGAACTATCAAAGAACAAAAATGGCCCGAATTTTTACGTACTTTTAGTTTATTTAAACATTGTTTCAAATTTGTGTTTATTACATAAAACAAATATACTATTATATAAACTATATATAGTTTAATGATTTAAACTATATTTTTTAACTTGTAATAGTTTATTAAAACCCAATTTATAAAAATAGTTCAAATTTTTACAAGACAAATTCTATAATATAGTAATGTATAGTAAAAATATTCAGAGATTTGCTTTTTTCCAGAAAAATGTTTATTTTTGATCAATTTATTTTCTTTTATATCTATAATACTCACGAGTCAAATTCAATTACGTTTTCGTGAATATGCTATATTATAGCTCGGTTGTGTGTTTAATATAACCATTTTTTAAATAAGTTCAAAAACAATAAAAAAAGTCAAGTTATGTAATTTTTGACACACATTTTTTTAAGAGGTTGTAAAAAACAAAAATTTTGATATGCAAACGAATGTACATCAACAATACTATAATGCATTACTGCGTTATATCATACAGTAACATTATACAAAGAAGTTACAGAATGTGTTTTTTATCATAACAATCATTATGAATTATAATAAAAAATTATTATATTTCTAATATTTGTTTTTTTTACAAATTAAAAAATTGTTTAATTTAAATTAAATAATTTTAATAAAAATATTCATAAAAACACCACCAACAAACAATACATAATATTATAATTATATTAATATAAACTATTAAAATGACTTAAGTTGTTGAAAAATTAAAGGGGTTTTATATCCACCATTATTTTTTTCTCAAAGAACTTTTATGAAAACTTAAAATTAAGATAAACCAGTTCAAATATTCAAACTCACACAAACAACAGAGATGTGTTGGTGTTGAGTTGTTACGGATCCCCATTACCTTTTGGCAAATTTATTTATTTATTTAAACACAGTGCATATAAATTAACAATTAGATGATGCAAATTACGCGCGACTAATGTTTGTTTGTTTGTTTATGTTATTTATTATGTTTAAGTGGCTGTTAAATACAATTAATTAATTAATTAATTAATAGAAATGGGTTTAAAATGGATATAAATTATTGGTTTCTTATTCGTATTTTTATGGTTAATAAACTGAATAACAATCTATTGTTTATATACTATATGAAACTAATCAGTATTTTATTGTTTAAAGTATGTATTAGGAAGTGAACCTTATATTATTTTTTTAATCTAAACATTTTATTAATTATATTAAAATTAAACCTAAAATATGTTCAAAAGCTTATTAATCACTTCATTATAAATATCAGGATAATAAATAATATTTTTAATTTCCTAATAATTTATATTTGTTATTTAAGGTTAATTTCATGTAGTTTTTATATTGTATTTTAATTATAAGAACATTCTTAATTAACCAAAAAACTAAGACTGAACCTTTTTTCATCCAACAGCTTTTCAAAGAAGAAAAAAGAAAATGGGTGCGGGTTTTTCTCCAGGTGTGGGTTTTTCGCCTCACTTTAGTTACACTATTAAACAATTGTTTATATTTGATTTTATAAAAAACTCTTGGCTTCTGAAACCCCTTAGTGCTCTGAAATTACCTGAATTTTATCTATATTGATTATTTAATTTATTAAATTACTATTAAATTACTATAATTAATAATTAATAATTAATAAAGGTGACTTTGAAGATTCAACAAAATGCTTGGGCTGACAATAATTATTTAAAGTCAAAAACATACGTAAGATAATTTAGAACTGGTAAAAAAAGTTTAAAATGCGTGACAAATAATTATTAACATAAAAAAATAATTAACCCTTCCAATACCAGAAATCAACAAAATTTAATTTATTTTTTTTTCAAAAATTTTCAAAAAAACAAAACCCAATTCCAAAATTCTGAAAAGTTGACAGGAAAATTATTATTTTATAGTTCATTAAAGCCAATAAAAATAATGTATAAACAAATAACCTTCATTTTTTTATCAAAACAACAGAAAAACCGAATAAGTGAGTAGCAATTTTGTATCGAGTGTAACAATTACTTGTTGTTTATAATAAAAAATAATTCAAAAAGTGTGACAAGTGTTAAAAATGCCAAAAATTTCGAAGATACGAAAAAGAATTAAAAATTGTAGTTTACAGTTCATGTTGTATAATTTTATTATTATATATTTACTATAATGACAACTAAAACGATGAATTAAAATAATTGGTTTAAATTTAAAAGTATAGTTTATTCGTTGAACCCTTATGTGGGGTTATGTGTGTTACTTGCTGATTCATTGAACATTTTCACTTTTTTTTGTTCCTTTCATGTATCAACATCTCACTCTTCTTCTTTTCTGTTATATAATTTCGTTTTCGACGCTTTTATCGTTTATTTTGGTTATAGACAAAAGATATTACATCATAACAAGTATACATAAAATGAAAATAAATAAACATCAACACACATCAGTCCAAAGCAAATAAAAGTTGTTCTTTTCACTCATTATCTACTACGTATATTTGTTCAAATATGTTTTTTGCATGATCATTTGACTGTGTATATTCATGAAACACTGCAGAGTTTTACCTTTTCATAGTTATTGATAATTAAAATTCACTCAAAAACAAACATTTAACATGAAAGGTTTACACGTACATTTTTGAGAATTACGAATCTGTTTGTTAGTATCTGACAGAGCACATAGTAACTATAAACAAACTATAACATTTGAGTACAATAATTCGTATTTGCGAGCTTGTGTATATATTCACCCATTCTTCGTTAACATGTTTATGATATGTCATCCTTTTAGTGTTATTTCCATATTATTTTTCAGTTCAACTTTCAGGGTTGTTGTTTATAT